TATGAAGTTTCATTGTGTCATTGCAGTCAGGTCTCCTGAAGCCTTTGAAATGTGGAAGATGCACAAATTTGACCCAATGCTCGTCTGTAGTTTCATCTTCCAAGTGTAATATTACACTGCGGTTTCTCAGATGCTGCTAGACCAGTATTGCAGTTGAAACCATCACAAGGCCAGATGAAACCCATTCACAAGACCAGTCTTGGGACCAGTCACAGGTAAACAGGATGAACAGTGACAGAGGAATGCCTTTGTGGCAGGTCACTTGAGTGGCTTTGTGACTTACTCAACTACCACAATGGTCTAGATAAAGGCAATCCAAGAAAAGTAGGGTTTTTTACTAGAATTTTAATTCAGATTTCAAAGATCCAGGCACAGGAGTTCCCTTGTTTGTTTAACCCACTTTACCAGACATTTTGCTCCAAAACTGATGGAACATACACACACTCAAGGTAGCTTAAATTTCCATGTTTTACTTGTGCAAGTTTCAAAATTGAAGCCGTCCTTTTCTCTCTGACATAACCGGTGAAGCTATTTAACAAATTTGGCAAAAGTGGCGCATAAATGGCAAACAGACAGTTTAAACATTTTGGACACACTTGTCATTTGACAGCCAAAAAAACCTTTGAAATAATGTGCTAATGTGTTCATGTGAACTTACAATTAGTCTTTTTCTCCATTCAATGGGCTAATTTAGAGTACATGTAACCCAAAATATTTTAAGTTTAAATTTTTAGGTTTAATCGTTAGGGACATAGATTAAGCATGTTGAATGAGTACCAAATTTTACCTGACCAGTGTCAATAGACCAATTGCACCTGCTAAATCACGTGACCTATAGTGGGTTTTGAATATCAACAAACACGGTGTCCACCAAAAGCAAAGTGTGTTCAAAGTATCATTTACCGAAAATAAAGCCGACAGTACACGTAGGTACCATACTCAGACTACTGATGTACATGTACTGGGTACTGTACCGTAACTTGGCTGTATTTGTAAACAACACTCAAACACGCCTTACTATGGGGTTGATACCCACTATAGGTCATGTGATTTAGCGGGCGCAATCGATCTATTACAGAGAGTATAGTCCCGGGAGATCCCTTGAAGATTATGATTCAAGGAGATCCCTTGAAGATCAGAATGTTATAGCTACCCTCGGTTGGGTTGCTTTGCAAGGGAGGAAATGCAGATTGAGAACAGGATTTTTTCATATGCACAAATTTGGTTGACTTTGATCAGTCAGATGACCAAAACATTAAGTGCAATTCCTTGTGCAAACACTGTACATACATAAACTTGTCCTGTCCCTCCTTGAAACTGTTTACTTTTTAATCCATTATACATGTAAGTGCATGTATCTCATGTCATGGGCTGTTTCTGCCTCTTTTGTGTATCTGTTTATCTTTTCTGAAGTAGTTTCATGAAGTTTATATTTCAGTGTTCTTTATCTTCATTTCCTGAATTCACAAGCAGCTTTTATTAACAAGGAGTGGCCTGTAAAAGAAGAAGTCCACAAAAGGGTCCCTTGTTCATCCTGTACATGTATGTAATGCCATTTTTTCTTAAATTTCACAATCAACACAAAGGCAAGTACTGAAAATGTAACAATTCTCAGCGGTATCACCTGCCCAAAAGTAGACTAAAAAATTACTATATCCATGAATGTCTTTGAGCTAAAAACTTTACTTATTTATTCGGCGTACATGCAGCATGTTCAACATGCTTCAGAAAGGTGAAGTACAGGTGTATTAGTTACGAAGGAATTCAATTCAGCAGTTTGAGTTTCCATGTAGCGTTCAGTTGTAGTCATGGGATATTTTAATAGGCAAGACTCCGTCACTGACGTGTTTCTTTTGTGTGTGAGGATTTGGATGCTTGACATCACACATTTCATGGTGATTGTGTACTTGCCCACAATGAGACAAATAGGTTGGACCTACATGTACATGTAAGTCTGCCAAGGGTGTACAGATGCATCACTATTTACCTCATAGAATGGATATTTCTTATGCCTCAGCTGTCCATCACAGCGCCCTTTGGTCTGTGCACAGCTATACTAAGCCAACAATTCATTCCCCTGCCATGTAAATCACTTGAGATACATGTAAGCTTTACGTCACACAAGTGCATGTCAGAGCCTAAAGAGTTTAATTGAGGGGCCCTGTTTTTCACTTCAGGGCTAACAGGGACCCCCAGCTTCAAGTGATGGTATTTATTTGCAAACTTAGGCCTAAATATATTTTCATGTATTCGGGGGGGGTTCACCAAGTTCACTGTTTCTTCAAATTCATGAGTGACAGTTCGCCCAGTCAGTAACGGGGCACATGCAGTACGACAGTGGACAAACATGTGACCAAATCACCCAGGTTTACCAAGCACACCTTTTCTAACCCAAATTGTGTAATCTACTTGATCAGACTGTGCTCCTGCCCCTGCAGGCCCTCATCATGCCCCTTGAAAAACCCTCGGGCTACAGCACTTCATAATCGTCCCGAGTTGAGAAGAGAAATGCACGGCCCATGCACCATTGCCACATTTGTCTCATGTATATCCTTTGTGAAAGATGTAAGCCATTTGCTTATCCTGATGTTGCAAACACTGATGTTCAGTAACCTGATTGAAAACTCCAGATCTTCCTAAATCTGACGCCAGTTGTGGTATTTTGTCGGAGTCAGGACTGTATACTTTAAATTTGGTTGGTGCAACGCATTTTGGGATTTCAATAGATGAAAGTTCTAAGCAGTTTCCACCAATGTCTGTATAAGTCATTGGAGGACGTGCCCAGTGAACTGTACTTCCCAAATCAAAGCAGATTACTTCTTATGTGATATGTTTCAACCCCATCACATATTACCACTATCTCAGGCCAAAAGTATTGCATTGGACAGGCATGCTTACATTTCAAGATTCAAATGCTTTGGTGTATAAATGCTTGTGAACGCATACAACATGATGGATGTGCAAGGAAAGAAATCCAAAAAGTGGTGTAGGTGACCAAGCAGTGTAAACGAGTGAGTTGTGCATGTAAAAAATGGATGTACCTGTGTATGTTTATAGTTACATGCAGTGATCTAACATTGTAGTCGTCCGTGATGAATATTAATCATTAACTGCAGGACTGTATTCAGAATTTTATAGAATATATACAAGTTTGCATTTATATAAGTGTGGTTTTTTTGTTAATACTATTTATACACACTAACGTTAACAGTTTGTTGTTAAGTAAGCATTACTGATTGTATAGGTTCCACTTATCTCCATAGTTGTTCAGATTTTTTTGTCACTGCACAGTTTCCTACAAGCGGGGATAAGAAAAGACCGTTGCAGCAAATGGTGATCATTTGGAAACTTCTGGTCTCTGTGATTTCACTTTGAAATATGTTGATGTTGTGAGGATTTGAACCCATGAACTGAGCTGCATTTATCCAATCCGATTGAGGCCAGTTCATACTTTGTGTGAGAGCAAACAGGAATGCAGCATTGTGACGGAAGATCAAATACTCCTGCTGCAAATTTGCAAAACTGGAACACTGTTCAACCCTGGCAAATTTTGCTGTAAAGATTCTGTGACATCAAGTTTGCTTCGCTGTTTATTTCACCTGAAGTGTGAACTGGCTTTTATTGCCATTTTTCCAGTTTTGTCAGTGGTTTTCAATGGGGGGGAGGGAGATGAGCTGGTGTCAGGTAGATCCCAGTGTTGTTATCCAACAAACAGGTACACTGTATCATGCCAGAAGTCTCATTTCAGAATGGAAATAATGCTTGAAACCTGGAAAGGGCAAAAAGAGCAACTGTTTGCTTGCGATTGTGGTTTCTCCCAGTCAGCAAAGTTGGGGTTAATTTGTTCAGACATGTTAGTCACAGTCACCACTTTCGTTCTTTGAGGTAAATCCCCAAAATGTTTCGCAGTCCAGCTGCAAATCTTTCCCAAAGAACTGTGGTTTTAAACCTCTGCAGAGTAGGAGCACAGATAACCAGTGAATAACAAACACGTAGATGTGTTGATTGTATTCGGGGCGCAATGAAAGTACTCATAGAATGTTAATTGTCTTCTGTTTAACATGTTAGTTTCATTTTGAAATCCATTCCTTCATGTCTATTAAACGAACATGATCATTAAAATGTGACATGATAGACAGAGTGGACCAGTCTGGTGTGATGTTTCCTTCAGGGAGTTTTTCACGTGACGTAACATGACATGCAAAGGCATTTCAGGAAGCGAAGGCATGTGCAGTTACAAATCTGTGTATCTTTATTAGCAATTTCATGTCCGCCAGGGTGTTGAGCAACTTTGAAGGCGTGTGCCTTTCCGCGCACATCTGTGTAATTGAACACTAACCATCAAGAATCATGCGACTGAAAATGCTCTATAATATGATACCGTAGGTATTCTCTAGGTCTTCAACAGACGTACTACAGATTCTGAACTACTTGGAAACATTAAATATTCAGCTCTATGGCATGCTAGAATTGTACACCCTATTTCAGTATTCATCTGAGGAAAACAGGAGGTACCGCTACATGACAGGCATGCAACTGACTCTAACCTCAAGTAACAACACTGAACAGTTTCTCAGTCACATACAGAAATAGCATTCAGGGTAAATGTTGCACTAGTACTATGCTGGATCTTAACACTTTTAAAAATCTGTGGTCCCCCGGGAGGGAGACGTGTGTACTTGGGAGTGCGCTTGGGCTACGTGCCAATAGCACACAAGCCTGTACACACACACAACGTGAGTTCCCACCAATTTGACTTCCTGTTAAATAACATGCCATGTCTTCATACATGTATATGGCGTCCGTATTGTTGGCCCGTGAAAATACTTTACATTTACATTTATTTAACCTGTGTAAATTTTTATAAAAACATTTTGTAAGTACATTTAGTTGAAGTGAGGCACAGAATTCAAACAAAACCATTAAAAACAGGATTCCTAGTTGATTTTATACAACTCTTACCAGATTAAGAAGCAAAAAGATTAAAAATAGTTAATTTGAGGAGTAATAATTATTTTGATTTAATAAAAAGAATGGCACTGTAAGAGTTGTAGCAAAAAATATTTACCACCCAACCTCTTTCATAATTCTGCAGGCTACTGCTGTACTTTATTGTCTGCATCTAAAAAGCTCCTGAATATAATGTAAAAATGAACAGGAAATTCAAATAAGTAGAGCATAAAGAACTCAACTCTTTTTCTGATCTATATGTTGTGCACGTACTAGGGCATGAAAAACACAGACTGAAGTACATGTAAGGCCATCTGGGTAGTATTGAAATAACCTCATACTGCAGTCCCATACATTTATATATACACATCTATTATGCATACTAAATATGCCTACATTATATTCGTGACATACTTAAACTCATGCTTGATCATGCAAAGGTCCCCACTTAAAGTCATCTGAACTGAATGCCTGTATCTAGGAATGTTCATGTCACATAAATTTCCATTCTCATTATTGGGCAATATATGAAAGAGTATATATGCAGTAGCTAAAGTACTGTATTGGGCAATAATATGGAAGAGTATATTCAATAGCTAAAGTACTGTATTGGGCAATAATATGAAACAGTATATTCAATAGCTGAAGTACTGTATAGGGCAATAATATGAAAGAGTATATATGCAATAGCTAAAGTACTGTATTGGGCAATAATATGGAAGAGTATATTCAATAGCTAAAGTACTGTATTGGGCAATAATATGGAAGAGTATATTCAATAGCTAAAGTACTGTATTGGGCAATAATATGAAACAGTATATTCAATAGCTGAAGTACTGTATTGGGCAATAATATGGAAGAGTATATTCAATAGCTAAAGTACTGTATTGGGCAATAATATGAAAGAGTATATTCAATAGCTAAAGTACTGTATTGGGCAATTATATGGAATAGCATTTAATTGCTAAAGAATCAATAATTTTAAATTCCATTGAATGTGATTGAAGAATGAATCAGGAACAAAAGATTTCTGAAACAGAATGAAGGAATTCCATACATGGATGCTGCTTGGCACCCAGTGCACAAACCCTATGAGACTGGTGTGAAAAATTCCGTTTTCTATTAAAGTGAATACCTCCATATTTTCACTGCAAATTTTTTCATTTTTAGAATATTTTATATGCTTTCAGATGGCTAACAGGTAACTGCAGGGCAGAATTAGTGGCGTTAATTATAAAAAATTTTTCCAAGAATTAACATAAGAGCTTGTGTGCTACTTACATAGTTGGCATCGCATACACTGCTGGTAAATGCATCTACATAATACCTTCCAGTTTTTCCAAGCACTCCTTGAAGGCTTCTGCCGATGGTCGCTTGTTGGCATCGTGGCTCCAACACTTCTTCAGTAGAGCCACCAGACCATCTCCAACCTTGACATCTTCAGGAAACTTCAGGTTGACATCCCCCCTGCAGATACGGCGTGTCAGCTGGTGGATGTTTAAGCCGCTGAATGGCACCTCTTGGCACAGGACTTCCCAAGCCACCACCGCCATGGAGTAGACATCTGCCTTGCACATGGCTGGCTGTGCAAGTTCCTCCCCATTTAGGACCTCCGGCGCTGAGTACTTAGGCGTCCCGACACCTTGGACTTTGGCCGTGGACTGCGACGTTTCTGTTTCACTTTTCATCAAGCTGAGGCCAAAGTCTGATATCTTCGCAATGACACCCTCATCAGAGTTATCCAGTAGAATATTGGTGGACTTCATGTCACAGTGGGCCACCTTCATCCCGTGCAAGTAGGCCAAGCCATCAGCCATGTGTAGCAGGATTCGATACTGATCCTGAGGTGAATACTCCTCCTCTTTGACATGGAGAGCATCATAAAGGCTCTTCTGCATGTACTCCAACAGGATGGCCAGATTGGGAGTAACAACGCAAGCACCCAGGAACTTGACAATGTGGGGATGGTCTAAGCGACACAGGATCTCCACTTCCTCTCGGAACTGTCGCAGTCGCCGTTGGGACACGCGCTGCACTCGAAGCTTCTTGACTGCAACAACGGTGCCTTTGTACTTTCCAAAATGGACGTCTCCAAAGCCCCCGTGCCCAATTTTCTCCAGGACCTCAATCTCATCAAACTTGATGACTGGTCCATCGTACTTGAAGGTCTCCAAGGCAGTGCGAGGCTGCTTACCTTGGTTGGTTTCCTGCCACTGCAAAACCTGTTCCATGCGCCTGATGAGACTCAAGACTGTTTCACACATGTAGTCCTGCTCATCCTTTGGGATATCGCTTGGGAAGTCCACAAAGTCCTCTTCCTCCTGTAAAGTTAAAAAGTGAAGACTTATAGAAAAAGAACATTTGTATATGTTGGAAGCATAAATCCACTGCCAAGTTCAGCTTACCCAAATCAAATCACAGGGACATCGCTGTGCAAAAAAATTATGTTCTGACTGTTTTTATGACAGGAATGCATGAAACTCATTTGTTTGTTGACATCATACTTTAGACTTTTTAGTGACTTAAATACTTCCAGGCTACCGTCTTAGTGCCAAGGAAGGGAGATCAGCTTGGACACTTCTTTTTCGTGTTGAAACTCTGCACATTGGTTGAGATTTACATTGGTTAAGATTTTAGTCAAAAGAAGATTTCTCAAGTTTTACGGTCTTTGACAAGGATTTTCTTCTGGCTTAGGTTGTAGTGAGCCCAGTGAGCACTTTATTGCCTTTACAATAGGGGCTAAAATCTAAGCTTATATCACTGGTTTGCCTTTAGGAATCTCTGGGTTCCTGAGAATACTTACAGGCCCTAGCAAATGATCCATTATCTTTCCCATGACATCTGTGGGCTTAGGTTTCTTTTTCTTGACCACCAGTGTTTTTTTTGGTTGTGGCGCCTGCTTCTTTCTACTGTAAGGCATCGTTCCAAGGGGCATCCCAACTCGACCCAGGCGTTGGTTCAAGGGAGTGCTTTTGTAGACCTATCCAGAAAAGAGAGAATTTCTCACTGTCTTGTGCAGAGATGTTACAAATGACTTTTCTTCTTAACTGTGCAAATACTTAAATTGAGCGTACCATCAGAGGTCATTCAAACATAGCAATGGTCTGCCCTATCAGGGTGGTTTTACACTGACCACACACACTCAACATGATCAAATTAGAGTGTACTTTACTCAAATAACCTTGCCCATTTCAAGTACGCAACTGGCTCATCAAAATAAAAATTGCTGTACTGATTGTGAGTAGCATGAACTCAGTTTTTAATATTCCAAGTTACACATGTGAATCAACATTGTGAACTTGAAAATGGGATGTTCCTTGTGCGGTGGTGAAAAATTAACTGTAATAAACAGAAGCTGCATGTACATGTAGTTCCACAGAGAGAAAGTTCTTTGACCTGTATCCAAACTCTCTCTCGGAGATGTGATTAAAATGAATAACGAATGTCAAATAGATCATAAGCAATATTTGTATAGGGATCTGGAATGACTACAAATGTGCAGCAGCAATTATGAGCTTTTTAGAAACCACAATAGTGAGGATACGGTCTAGTTGTTTGATTACTTTGATAGATTATCTACATGTTTGGACAAGATCTGGTGAGACTTGAAGGGTTTCATGGTGAAAAAATTAGAAGAGTAAAATGATGGCGGATGCACCATGTATCAATCTCTTTTTTAAGTATGTGTGCTTCTGGGAAGAACTGGGGAATAACTTGATGTTTCGAACAGTGTACTCTGTCCGTCTTCAGGAGACTCCGGGATTCTGACTGGGAGTGGAGCTTTTATGGTGTAGAGAGAGATTCAGATGTAGGGATTAGCTCGGTGAGGCGTTGAGGTGGGAACAGTGAAGGTGGGAACAATGGATGCTGCACTGGATCCTGGTACTGCATGACCTGAGTGTGTGCTTACTCAAGAGTGTTTGGAGTTGGCCGTGGGAGAGTGAACAGCTGGGTAAAAAGGGTGAAGGGTAAAGAAGACCCATAGGCTAACTAAGGGGGGAACCTTAAACTGGGAGTCCTAGGGTGGTATAGGAGACCCACTGGACTGGGCTGTGAGGATGGGGTGCCAGATATCTGTGATGCTGAAGCCGATATCTTGCCTGGTATACTCAACATGGTGCTGAGTGTTGAGTAAGCTTTTACATAGCGACCACCATCTGTGGAATGGACTGGTTCCTTTAATTTTCTTCCCCTCTTATCCATTGAGAACAGTGTATTTAGTATAGAGAAAGTATGGAGAATACAAATTGTTACGGTCATGTAAATTTAAAGAACTTGGTGTTCCAGATTTTATTTAAATTTAACTTGCAAAAGGCTTATTGAAATGTAATTTCAAAAAAACCTGTGCTAGTTTCTCAGACAGGAAAATCTTTGATCTACATCCAGACTCCAGGCTCTCTCTATCTCTTAAAAGTGATTAAATATGCATAATGGTCAAATAGACCAGAAACAATACATGTATTTGAAGAACCATAATAGTGAGAATACGGTCTAGTTGTGTATTTTAATGATCTACATGTATATATATGGACAAGTGCTGCCAATTAAGGAGTCATATTAAATTGATCTGACTTAAGTGGCTCATCCAAGATTTTTTTTTTTGGGGGGGGGCTTTGAGCCAAGTTTACCCCCTAAAGAACTCATGCTGATCCCCCTCCTGGTTGCACCACAGGGAACTAGGCTCTACGGCTATATCAGAGCCATGGTAGATGTCCAAGTTACAGGTGTATTTTTTATCTGTGGTTTTCAGAGAGCAAAACCAAAAACAAAACATCCTAGGAGAGTGGGGGGGGGGGCTTGGCCCCAACACATTTTACCCCATGCCGAGTTATGCAACAACATGTACAGGTAGTTATAGTGACTCGCTTGAAAATAAGAAATTAAGAAGTGACTGTGCTTGCCTTCCTTTTCCGTTACTCATTGGACAAAGATGCTAGAAACACTCGCACATGTACAACTTGGAGGGCCTTCTACATAGAGACCACTGACTAATACCAACCATGAGATGTATTTGTCCAGTTACCTGTACATGTGTGACACCTCTGTGCCATTATACAGTATAAACAAAAACTGAACATTAGAAAGCAACTACTTCTGAATAAAAAAAAAACTAACCTTGCCACTGTGTTGTGATGATTTAGACACCGGCTTGCTGCCTTTGGGCAAGCCAACCCTGCCAAGCTTTCTGTTGTATTCGTTGTCAACATAGACGGCCTGGCTGTCGGAGGGCGTTGTGCTACTGCTTCCTGATGATGCAGATGACGGTTGAGACACCGGCATGCTGCCCTTGGGCATACCAACCCTGCCAAGCTTTCTGTTGGAGGTGTTGTCAACATAGACGGCCTGGCCGTCGGAGGGCGTTTTGCTGCTGCTTCCTGATGATGCAGATGACGGTTGAGACACCGGCATGCTGCCTTTGAGCAAGCCAACCCTGCCAAGCTTTCTGTTGTAGGTGTTGTCAACATAGATGGCCTTGCTGTCGGAGGGCGTTTTGCTGCTGCTTCCTGATGATGCAGATGACGGTCGAGACATCGGCATGCTGCCCATAGGTGCTCCAACCCTACCCAAGCTCCTGTTGTAGGAGTTGTCAACATAGGTGCGTTGGCTTCCAGATGACGAGTGGCTAAATCCTCCTGATGATCCAGAAGATGATCGAGACATTGGCATGCTGCCCATGGGTGCTCCAACCCTACCCAAGCTCCTGTTGTAGGAGTTGTCAACATAGGTGTGCTGGCTTCCAGATGACGAGTGGCTAAATCCTCCTGATGATCCAGAAGATGATCGAGACATCGGCATGCTGCCCATGGGTGCTCCAACCCTGCCAATGCTTCTGTTGTAGTAGTTGTCAACATAGGTGCGCTGGCTTCCAGATGACGAGTGGCTAAATCCTCCTGATGATCCAGAAGATGATCGAGACACCGGCATGCTGCCCATGGGTGCTCCAACCCTACCCAAGCTCCTGTTGTAGGCATTGTCAGCATATGTACCTCCTCTAGGCATGATGCGTCGTTTTGCTTGGTCAAGTCTGAAACAAAATGGAATGTTTGTACTGTGCTATGAACTGGTCCCACTTTATTCTTTTGGGTTTTTTTTGGGGGGGGATGTTTTGCTGGTACTCCTTGACTTGAGCAGTGGTTTCAACTGTGCAACATTTTTAGGTGAATCAAGGCACAACTCTGGCGGACAGCACTCTTGGCTTGGGTAGTGAGATCTGATCTGCTAACCCTTGCTTGAATTGTGTTTATTTGAGAAATCTCCCGTAGCAGATTAACTATACCAAAATTCTTTACAATGAATGAGCAATGGTAGTGCCAGTGCAGGAGCCAAAGAAAATAAATTATGAACCCATTCACTGCCTAAAAAGATACATTATATCCCCCAAAAAATTGCAAAACACAACAAATTTTATTGCTCCTGCAACAAAATGAAAACAACCTTTTTACCACAGTGACAATTGGAAAGGAAGAATCAAACATGCTTGCGTGACTAATTCAAAGAGGGAACTGAACACGTAAAGACATTTGATTCGACATTTGACAGCAGAAAATGAATCTTAACCGGCTTTGAATACTGATTGCGTGACATTAGCCTTTCAGAAGTATGGCTGACACAATAGGAAGGCACTATTTGAAGTGTGTAAATTTGGAGCAAACACAAAAGATTTCACCCCAACCAAGGAGCACCCTCCTATTGTGTCCACCATGCCTCTAAAAGTATGTCCCCTAGACCAGAAATTTGAAGTTTCTGGTTGTGAGAATAATCCTGTGTCATTCAATCAACAAACTCATGCATGCTAACTTTTTTTTTCAACAAATACACATTGCTCTTTTTCTTACAAAAAGTTGGACAACTTTGGGTGAGTTTATACTGTGCAGACAGACCTGTGCCCAACCTTACTGTTTTCATACCTAGGAAAAGGTCCAAAAATTCAGTAGAGCTGGATCGTATTGACATAACTCTATTTACGTATGTCTTTCCTATTGCAGGGAGGTAGGACATAATCGAGCCCCCATAGGAAAGTGCACAAATATAGCGTGACATCATTATGTTGAAATTTACTATATGGATTTCCATAGGTAGTGCCGATGGATCTGAGACCCATTCACAGAAAAATATCCACTGCCTTCGATCCCCCAAACTAGTCCCAAAAACAAATCCAAAAAATTGCAAAACTTACCAAAATGATAATTCCTTCAACATTAAGAAGAGTCTATTCACTGTAGTAATAGTTGGGACAGGCTGGAAACAAATGGCACTTGAAAGTAGAAGACAAATGCTGGCTGGCTTTAACTCACCAACTGATTGCGTGACATGGTATTTCCCCACGACCAGAAATTTGATGTTTTTAATTGTGGGAAAACCCTTTATCATGCAACCAGTCAACTTTACATGTGCACTTTCCTCTGGCAACAAAGGGGACACGATCCACTGAGCCCCATTGGAAAGCGCACGTTGAAAAAATGCAACGTCATTATGTTTTAGATGTACTGTGAACCTATTGTCAGGTTTTGGGTTCTGGGTTGAATAAAGTAAGACCCACACAAGTCTGCAGTTGAAAGATTGCTTATGAAATCAGTTTGTGTTGCCCTCCCAGTGTTCATGCATAATAGTATTCTTGTCAACAGAGAATGAATTCAACTCGGAAACGATATTTGGATATACATGTACATCATTTAAGTGTACTTCCTGTATTACTTTGACAGATAGCATAGGGTAAATACGTGTACTGTGTAACTCTTTTTTACTCCATTGATTTCAAGGAAAAAGTAACCAAAGGGGTCATTCTGAACATGACCAACTTCGGTTGGTTGAGATCGTTTAGGAAATTTCACGAAACCAGATGAATAGTTTGATAAACAAGGTACCAGTATTGAGGTACATGTATGGCATGTACATGAAGAAAGACACACAACTCGGTCTGATGAAGCACCTGAACGTTCACTGGTGGGACGAGCAGCCTATGCAGGATTGGCTTGTACTCATGTCAGAACAGGTGCCGTCATTTCCTGAGTCACAAATGTTCATGTAAATGTACAGGGATCTCCCAAACTTAATCCGTGGTAGGTAAAATGAGTCCATATTTGAGACCGTATGTTGGTACAATGTACTCTTGTTGGTGCAGGCTTTTGCATAATGATGTCACTACGCCAATACACAGACTTCCATGTAGATCGCCAGGACTTTTTTCCCTGAGGCATGGGGCAAGTGTTTTTTGGATGGGCTGAAGCAAACACCAGCAGCAAGTCCATAATTAATGGTAAAAGGGGTCCATTCAGGGGCATTTTCAAGCAATCAATTATTTTTTCTGCTTTCCTCCATTTTCATTCCAATTGTTTTGAAGGGAAGCCGGGTTTCTTTTTTCCCCTGGGGGGGTACCTGCCATTTGCTTCACTAGTACAGAGCCTCTGGATAGAAAAGAATATAAATTTAAGGTCACAATTCCAGAAAGAAACCGATGTTGTCCTCTCGTTTCCAAATGTCCTCACAATTGTGGACTGTTTGAGATATTAGCTGAATGAATCCTGAGTCTTTTGATTTGTAATTTGCTTCTTGAGATTCATTTTAGGATTGTGGTTTTTATTTAGCCACACTGTGATGAATAAAGGCACTGGACAAAAGAGGCACAAGTGCTCCTGCTCTTGCAAAATCTGCAAAATGCAGTTTTATTGACATTTGACAAGTCTCAAAAGAAGAACAGTGATTAAGCTACATGTACTATTTTTACATTTTCATAGAGTTTCAAGGAACTGGCAAGATATAGAAAGCACTGATTTTCTTAGGTGAGACCTTAAAAATGTTGATAATTTTACAATGTGTGGGTAAATAAAAACACATAAAACTTTGATATTTTTTCAAACGAGGAGTCTCAAGTTGCTAAATATGTTTCAAAGTATAAGCACCCGTTCATTTACTCATAGTCATGTTTCCATGGAAATTATCTATTAACGTGTTGCTGGCACAGGAAAGTTTTAGCCACAGGGGTATTGCTGTGGCCCTGCTGTGTACACCTGTTTTGATATAAATGTATGTGAATGCATGTGAAGCCATAAACCACACTCTGTTTTGAATTCAAGACACATTTTGCCACCCAGTTTTCGAATGCTGACTACAGGTCTAACTCACTGTAAACTTTGTCGACATTACAAACACTTTAAACTTAGAAACAATATTTGGATATATACTATATGTGCTTTACGATTAAATGCTCTTTAACTCTCCTTCACTCTAATCCTTTTTTTTTTGCCAAAAATGCCATGGAGCAGTACTGAACAAACCAATGTTGGTTGCTTGAAAGAGTTTACAGATAAAATCAAATGAACAGTATTCTAGTCGAGTACTTTTTACATTTTAATTTCACAAATCACAAATGCACAGGTGTAAAATTCAAAAATAAATGCATGACCTCAGACAACCATAGTTATGTGAAATGTAAGATTTTAGGACAAAAGTACTTAAAACTTACAAGTCGACCAAGTACTTTTTGGGTAGTTCTTTCCAATAAAAAAACTGTTGAGCACTTGTCCAGTGTCCATGTTTTTCCACTTTTTTTCACCACCAACTAGATCCACATTGGAAGTAAACTGGTGCTCGAAAAATACACAAGGAAATTTATAGCCAAGGGAGTATGTGGGTGGACCTCATTCTGTATGCCTATTTTGACACACAGATGAACATGAAACCTCAAAGCTTAAGCAGCCTGGATCATGGATGTACCCCACTTTTACACTTCGGGGCATATTTGACCACCATTTTTCAAATGCCAACATCAGGCCTTGCTCTCTGTAAATGCTGTGAATAGGAAACACTTGAAACTCATAAACAGTATTTGGATATGAATTGTATATACTTTAACTATGCTTTAACAAATAACATTATGTAAGGATAAATACTTTAGAACTTTTTTTAATCTTTTTTTTTAGAAAGAGTACCATGGGGTCATACTGAACACTCCCAACTTTAATCAGTCGAGATCGTTTATTTAAAAAATTTCAAGATACCAAATAAGAAACCAGTGTTGTACACGTAGTTGAGTGCTTTTCCGGGACCAATTTCTCTTCCAAAATCTAAATACCCCAATACCAAACTGGTTATTGTAGGTGTGCATAAAGTTGGGAGACATATGCTGGATGGGAAATGTACAAAGTACATGTAAATAAATGACTTCAGGCTATCAGTCGTATAAAAATAAGGTTACAGGACAAGAGTACTTAAGAACTACTTGATCATACACATGTACATGTACCTTCAAGTGCTTTTGTGCTGAACACTTCATAATACTATGACTGTCTGAAGTCTTAAATATATTTTGTAATCGTCCCTTTGCAGACTGATCCAAGTTCTCCAGTCTAGTTCACACCATGGTTCACACCTAACCAGTTTCATATTTGGAAGTGACACTGGTGCTCCAAAACGCGACCACACTGGAAATGCTGGAAATGAATGATTTTGACAAATACTGTGCCAGCAGACCTTTTCATGTCACCCATGTATCATATGGAGAGTGGGCTGTCCCGGCTGTTTCAAAATAACATTGGGGAAAATAATTGTGAATCAAAACTATTCCTTTTGATTCGTAACATAACTTCTTAGCATAAAGTATGTTTGCTATTAAACATTTGTTGTGAACAATTTCAAATACAAGTGCTTTTTTCAACATATAAAAACTGAAATACCGGTAGACAGGTTGACAGTTGATCGGTACAAGTACATGTATGCTAATGTTTAGTGCGACCCAGAATGTGTAAAAAGCAAATGTCAACAATGAAAGGTCAACTGGGGCCTGTCTTTGCCTCAAAACACTGTAATGAAGGTGCATTATGGTGAAATGTCTACGTGTATGATGTACATGTACTTGTACCAAGAACACTTCAACTCATATCGCGCATCTTTCTGACGCATCACTCTAATAAATGTACATCACAAAACATGGAGTAATAAAACACAAGCTTGCATGCCATACACACTTTTACAGGCCTATGTGTTGATACAATTTCCCAAAGTATCAGGTTTTCAGGGACCCCTCATTATCCAATACTAAATTGACTTTAAACTTTTTTAACTTTTGCATACATGCAAATTACTGAGTTGACTCTCGCACAATAACATAATGAATAATAAAGGTGTCAACATTATTTTGCTTTAAATATCTGCATATATCATGACTCTACCATGTAACATAAGTAATCTACGTAAATGAACCTCTACTAAAAGCTATTTTATCAATAAAACAAGTTCACTTATTAAACTAATATGAGCAAGAAAAGTAAAACCTAAACAAAGTTTAGGCTCTCTTTTGGACAATAATGAGGTAAAGCAGGCTTTGATAAAAGCCGTTGGGACATGTACATGCATGGACGTGACTGAACTTTACCTGAATACTGTTATTTTGAGTCCACTCAAAAGTCCATGCCTACATCAGCAGCAGAAAGCATGTCATCTTCAATTATATGAAAAGAGGTTAACCTGTCAATGATTGATGTGACATATCACTTCCCCATTCAGTGGTATATTGGTGTTTGAGAAGCCAAAAGGGGGTGGGATGAAATGTTAGGTATTGAGCTTGGCTGAAGAATAAGGAGTACTAGAACAAACAGAATGGCTTGGTTGGTTGGAGTGGAGCTACCTCGTCTACATGATACCCTGCAGTTTTGCCAAGTGCTGCTTGAAGGCTTCTGCCGATGGTCGCTTGTTGGCATCGTGGCTCCAACACTCCTCCAGTAGAGCCACGAGACCATCTCCAACCTTGACGTCTTCAGGAAACTTCAGGTTGACATCCCCCCTGCAGATACAGCGTGTCAGCTGGTGGATGTTTAAGCCGCTGAATGGCACCTCTTGGCACAGGACTTCCCAAGCCACCACCGACATGGAGTAGACATCTGCCTTGCACATGGCTGGCTGTGCAAGTTCCTCCCCATTTAGGACCTCCGGTGCTGAGTACTTAGGCGTCCCGACACCTTGGACTTTGGCTGTGGACTGCGACGTTTCTGTTTCACTTTTCATCAAGCTGAGGCCAAAGTCAGATATCTTCGCAATGACACCATCATAGGAGCTATCCAGTAGAATATTGGTGGACTTCATGTCACAGTGGGCCACTTTCATGCCATGCAAGTAGGCCAAGCCATCAGCCACGTGTAGCAGGATTCGATACTGATCCCGAGATGAATAGTCCTGTTCTTCCACATGGAGAGCATCATAAAGGCTCTTCTGCATATACTCCAACAGGATGGCTAGATTGGGAGTCACAACACAAGCGCCCAGGAACTTGACAATGTGGGGATGGTCTAAGTGACACAGGATTTCTACTTCCTCTTGGAACTGCCGCAGTCGCCTTTGGGACACGCGTTGCACTCGAAGCTTCTTGACTGCAACAACGGTACCTTTGTACTTTCCAAAATGGACGTCTCCAAAGCCCCCATGCCCAATTTTCTCCAGGATCTCAATGTCGTTAAACTTGACGACCGGCCCATCGTACTTGAAGGTCTCCAGGGTAGTGCGAGGTTGCTTACCTTGGTTGGTTTCCTGCCATTTCAGAGCCCGAGTCATGCGCCTGATGAGGCTGAACACAGTGTCACACATGTAGTCCTGCTCTCCACACGGGATGTTGCTCGGCAAGTCTCCAATGTCATGAACCTCCTGTAAAAATGAATTGTACACACAAATTGATGCTTAAACAAAGTAAATGTACAACTGCATGAGTGCTGATTACACTTGGACCCATTTAATGCTAGAGGTAGATTATTTGCAATTACTTGCAACCCTTGACAGCGCTTAACAGTGTGCCTCCAAGAGTTTGCAATGCATTGGCCAAACGCAATGTGCGAAATCTGTCGCCCCAAAACGTGTTTGGAAAGGGTTGACAGATTTTGCGCACTGTGATTGGCCAACACGTTGCTAACTCTTGGACGCACACTATTGTGAATCACCTGTATTGAGATGGGCCTCAGTTTGTACACAGAATGATTCTTGACATCGAAGCTATATATTAATTAATCAAATTAATTAATTAATCTCAATGCATGTTTAAGAAAAAACTGACAGAAAGATTCAAATGAATTCAGATTCTCAAGGATGAACCAAGAACCATTTATGAGGGGAGAGGGAAAGTTGTTTTCTAGGGGCCTAAAAAATTTTTGGAATTTCTTTATGTAACTTAACTGTGGCCTTTCTGGGGTAGAGGCTTTCGGGCTTTTTTACAGGCATTGGAAATAAAATAGTTCCAAAAATTCAACATTTTGATATATTTTAAAAATAAAAAAGGGCATTTTTGATGGTCCATGGCCTGTGCCCCCATCTGTCAATGTGCCATTCCACATGGATAAAAATTATCAGAGCTTGATCTGGTTTCAAAATGGAAGAAATTTACGATAAAAATAATAAGGAATTAGACAATAGAAATTTAGCTCTAGATAAGAACTGGTGCCATACTCTGTGAACTTCATTCCATCCATCATGTTCATATATAGAAGAATAATTCCATCCTATTTTCAAATGGTGTGCCAGCAGCACATCGCTTTATTGTTTCTCCTCTATTTCAGCCTGTTGACAGACTTACTGGCTGCAGTAGTTGGTCATACATCTTTCTCATTGCATGAGTAGACTGGGCTATCTTCCTGCTGTTTGTGTTCCCCGTCTTAGATACTGGCATGGTTCCAAGTTTCAGGCCAACTCTCCCCAGTTGCCGATTGAGGGAGTTGTCCACGTAAAACCTCTCTTGGGATACTGAGGCCCCACTTCCCCGACTGTGGGGCACTGATCCCAACGGCTCCCCGACGCGACCCAGTCGCCTGTTGAAGGCATTGTCTTTGTAGACCATGGCCTCTCTGCCCCTTGGCGAATCGGCCAGATAGGTCCCAGTGCCAGTCCCCGGAGAGGCTGATGCGGACAAAGATGACCTGGACACAGGCACGCTACCAAGCGGCATGCCCACTCGTCCGACACTTCGGTTGTAAGCATTGTCCACGTACGTACCTGGGCTTCCTGAGGACGAGTAGCCGGTGCTTTCTGATGATGTAGAAGAGGAGCGTGACACTGGCATGCTCCCCAATGGCATGCCTACCCTCCCTACACTCCTGTTGAGGGAGTTGTCCGCAAAACAACTGTGGCTTGCAGGTGATGAGTACCCACCACTGCTCGATGATCTTGAGGATGCTGACACAGGCATGCTGCCCATGGGTGCGCCAACCCTTCCCAAGCTCCTGTTGTAGGAGTTGTTTGCATATGTACTTCCTCTAGGCATGATGCAGTTGTTTATCCTGTTAAGTCTGATATGAGAAAAAGACTTTACATAAATAAAAGCCCCCAAACTTTATTATTGTGAACCTCAACCCCTAAATTCTAGATTGTCAAATAATGCAAAAAAAGAAATTACACTGATGTGAACGTTCCACCAACTGATGCCTCAACCCAGAACTTAAATTTGTGAATGCAACGAGATTTCTATTGTTTTAGCTATTGTGACATTGACCCTTGACCTTTTGGCCTAAAACTGCAACAAGCTTCTTTGGGCCACCGAGAACAATACACAATCAAAATCTGAGGTCCATATGGCCAGTAATTGTCATGTAACTGCACGGACAAGATTCTCCTAGACACACACACACAAACCCCCAAAGACATGGCAGAAACTAATGTAAATGCCCCTTTGACGTTGTGGGCGGGGCATCAAAAGTAACACAATGGTGGATCTCACCCAGACCCCACCTCCTTCTTGACAGCTAATTATGCTCCTAAACATTACTGTGCAGGTGTACTGGACAATTGAAATTGATTGTGTCAAAGGAACCACCCGGTGCATGTACCAAGTTGGTTGTAATCAATGAGGAGTCTCACCCCTCCCCGTCCCCCCATTTTTACATGTAGCTGCTGAGTAATGCTATGACACTGATACCGTGAGTAACCCTCATGGCATGCTTGATGCTAAGTTGCTAAATTTGTCCTCTTCTTCCAAACCATCAAAGATTTCAATATTTTTACAGGGCACCAAAAGTATGCATATATTTGTCACACGTTTGCATTCAATCCCCAGCACCAACTCCATCCGTGCTTTGCCTTGTGAAACTTTGCATCTAGTCACCTAAAATTTCCATGGTATAAATGCGACAGATTCATTGCTTTTATACAATGCCAGAAAATATCCTGAAAGGATAACCCTTTATCACCTGTATGAATCCTTGTCTAAATAAATCCCAATATAGCCACACCCATCATCACCCACGAGTATACGACTTCAGAAATCAACTCCTGTCTCTGTGTAAGCCAAATGTGCCACCTCCACAAACTACAGATGATTACTAAAATTCATAGAATTTTCTCCATTTCAAAATGCATGCCATAATTACATGAACATAAAATCATAATAGAAATAATGATGGCCTCAACCATCTTAAAATAATGAACTTTTCTCAATGAACCAATCAAAACGCACATTGCATCATACCATATTGAATTGTAAAAATGTGCCATGTGATTGGCTCATTAGGAAAAAGCATAACAACATACATGTGCAGAGTGAAGACAATATAAGGTGAGTGTAATTTCTCATTGGTTTTAACGACGTTGTGGAAGATTTCCTTTCAAATGACATGGTTTGTGCAACGTGAAGTTCCGCTGGACAAAACCAAATCTTTTCTTAAACTGTGCGTTGCAAGCCTATGAAGAAACACCTTTCTTTCTTTAGCTCAATTTGTATTGGGCGAACATGGCGCCTCGTGACCACACGAGAACAGCCATTTTTCTTAAGGCTGTACAGCTGACCAGACACGTCACAGCCACAAGACTACTGAAAGTTCTCTCCATGTTGAAACCGTGGAATGCTTTCTTGCTGCGCGAAAGTCGAACATGAATGGCATGGCATTACACTCCTGACACATATTTCGGAATAGTAAAAGACAACTTACCACGCCTATTGAAGTTTGTCATAAAAGATGACTCTAGGCCGAGCGACGCTGGCTAGGACAGTAGGAGGATAGAACGGCGCGCCTTTTTCAGCAGAGTAGCACGTGTCCTTTTCATTTTAGCTGTTTACGGCTGTTTTATTTACATCTTACCGTTATGTGTCATTTGACTATTCAATTCCTCTCCTACCACAAATGTCGAATTTATTACTTACACGAGCGTAGAAGTAGCATAAGATTATTGAGATGAAAAGGAGCGGTAGGCCTAGATGTACGTCTGTGTATACATATAGAAACCATGATCCCACTCCTTGTTCTGACAGGTAGGCTTTTGTAGGCCTACATTTCGTGTGTAACAGCTTAGGATGTAATCCGATCCGGGCTCAGATCTTGTTGACGGCCGGCTGTCGTGGGGTTCGGAATTGGGACCTTGCTGGGTGGGGATGTTATATCCAGTGAGGGTAGGGACATCGTGAGGGGGCCTGTTGACAGGCGTGGATCAAGAAGGGGTTGGGGTCATCCCGCGCTTATTGCCGGGGGGGGGGCTATATAGAAGACACCACAGAAAGCACAAAACATGCATTTTGCTTGTTTAAGGAAGAAACAAAGAGACTGGCTTTCAACAATGGCGAGAACCACGTGTAGAAACCTCCAACGAAAATTCCGCTCCCCCAGCAAAAAAACTGGATCCAGCCCTGAATTGAAAGCACCAACTCCAGTACACCTTTCTCAATAATTATAGGCCTACTGAGCATGGAGGAATAAGTCCATGATTATAATATTAATAATTCCAAATAAATATTCATGAACTTCCCCAGCTTGCCCCTTACGGGTTTCGAAACCTGTACACGTCTGAATTGGTACTCTGTGTGTAATGGGGGATACCCACGCAGGACTAACCAGGGGCGGATCCAGGAAATTTACGGGGGGGGGGTCAGACCGGAGATGTCATTTTTTGCTGACAAGCGGAAACGATAAGACATTACACATTACATACATTGTTTACAGTGGTATTGGTGCACTAGTCTAATGCTTCATTTTTTTCACTATTTTCTAAATGTTAACCTTTTTTATGTCAGAGCAGGGGGTTCACCCCCCAGCCAATCTGCCGCTGCTGTTCAACACTAAACAGGCCATATTCAAACGGATTAAAAGGACATTAGAGCGCACGTCAGTAAACTTGTGAGCCAACTTGTGCAAGGCCATATCATAAACAGGAAAACCTCTCAACCCATAATCGCATCATTCCGACAGGAGGTATTCACCAACTCGCCCGGCCCAACCCAACAAGTTACTCTCTCGAGAAAATTAAATTACCGCGTGGTTTCCCGCAGAACAAGAAGTTTCGTTTTCCTCAATAATTCCTGATACTAGTATTTCATTTTTGCCCCGAATATTTGATAAGCCTGTTTACATCACAAACAAGATTACATTGGACCCCAACGTTCAGGCTTGTTTTCTGCTGGAACATCCGAATTTGATATTAATTTCTAGAAATAGGACAAACATTTAAAGGCAATAGTGGTTAACTTGTGACGTGCCCTGCCCAAGGCTGTGAATCCCCCAAGGGCCAGGTAAATACAAAAGAGGAACAGGCGAATTGTTTTACACCAAAGTTCAATGAACATGTACACGCCTTTATTTCGTTGATATTATGAAACATTAAGTTTCCTCCCTCAAGTAAGTATTCCCTTGACATCGTTTTTCTTGCTGTTACTTCTTCAAAGGATCCATCGATGTAAATGTACTTGCTTTTTTTTTCTTGAAATTCTTTTTCCAGCCACAATTGATGACGTGGATTAAGTACAAGGCACATCTGAACAAATTACTTTGTCCAAATCAGTTTGGTCTACCGTCGTCCAGATTACAAAAATCAATCAGGAGAGAAATTCCACCTTCATCGTATTTTCACCTTTCACGAAGAGACGAGCTCATCTTTTACTGCTGTTGAAAGCACAGTATTTAGTGGGACCAAAATAAATGACATGTAGGCGTTATACAGTTTTCACGAACAGCTGAAGTGCCATAGAGATTAATTATTCCGCAATAAATAGTTACATTATTCTGTAATTGAGCATTTTGGAAATTTGAGATCACATGAAACTCACTGTATCTGTATCAAAAAGTAGTCAACATTAATTTGCTCTAAAAACAGGCGAAGTAGTTTTAAAAAGGTGACTCAAAACTGAACTTGAAACTCAATTTTCTCAAACCACTGTTGAACGCCTCGTGGCCAAATTTGCCCTGATACCATCGGGCAATCTCCGACGAAGTGTATTCATATCCTATAAGTTTAGCAACAAGCAAACTGAAACCTGGAGACGCGTCTTCTTATCTCCAAATTCTCCCTTCACCAACGTCCAGTTCAATGACGTAATTAATTATCATAAAACGTCGCAGAGTAACTTGTCCTCTTTCGAGTGGTCAACCGTGGTAAAATGTAGCAGATAAATTTCACATAAATTTTTATAAACAAAATCTTTTTGCCGTTACATACACAGAGGGCGTCCTTTCTTTTATGAAGTTTCCCTCATTCCTTATGTTTGGCATTCCACTCTTGACGTACTTTTAACACTTGAGGAATTTCGAATGTTATGAGCAAATATTTATGTCTTAGTGTTTAGTGCTATCTGCTTATCTTCGTACTTCCATAAACCAATGAACTCGTTAGCAAGATCAAACGACATAATGTGTCCGCGGAATCAAAACGTTTGGTTTGGTTCGATCCTCACAGAATATGACGGCTTTCAAATCTTTCAAACCCATCCTGAATGATCCAGAAATTGATATAAACTGTGAATGTGGTTCTTATTTCTTCGACAATAAGCCTAAATCCAGAGTTCCAAAAGGCGTAAGATGGCAGTTAAATGAGCTGATCGACAAACACTCCGTGGATCCCAAAAGGCAAGTTTTCTACCTCGGCACGGGCCAACTCTTGGAAAGTCCGAGCGTCAAGAACGAGAAGGAACGGGTTCTTGGTCGGTTCTGCGTCCAACACTAAGGACAGCACCACGCCTGGTGAGAGACAAGAGAGTGAACAAAGTCACGGTGACCAACACGTGCAGCCTCCATGGGGGTTTTACTTGGTCTTCGTTTTTATCAGTGACCTTTTTTTCTTGTAAAGCAGAAACCAAGACGTCACAGAGATCCCGATTTGAGTCAAGTCTAGAGTTTCGACAGATACTTTGCACCATAATTACCGTCATCCTCCTCCACTCCGTCGGGGTTGGGAACAAACACCGCCTCCGATGGGTAGTGGCTCCCGGACAGTGAACTCCACGTCAAGTGGGTTTTTGTCTTTGTGTCTATTTTTACGAGCTGAAAAAGTTGAAGTAGAAATTAGCATTTTTAAGCCTAAACTGCTGAAACTGCTACATATACTTTGCGACAAGTGTGTGCAGTAAGGAAACCTTCATGATTCTTTGAGAAGTAAATTTTTACGTAAACCCTGTAACTATAACATGCAGCGGTTACTTAAGTGGTTACTTAGCTAAAAAAAAATTACCAAGGAAAGGTGCACGACCCTTTGTGAAAATAAAAGTCCACACTTTTATACATTAATGCCCTTCTTACTGATCAATGTATATTTTCCCGAATACGCTTTACGCGCGCAGATCTATGAACGTAACAAAGATTGTGTGCCTTTTGGTGAAAGCGAAAATCTCAGTCGACCAACTTTTTTTTTATGCGATACGGTTTTGTTCTTGCTCATCAGGCAGTGATGTTCGCGTCTCTTCGTGAAAACGCAAAATACAATAATCGAGACTCCTGCTCCACTTGACACAAATGATTTATTTTTGAGTGTGGAAGCATGTCAAACAAGTTGAATAATAATTTTAAAAATCGACATTAAAAAATTGCCAATTGGACATCGCCGTCTATTTGTTAAAACGATGACGTTGTGCTTTCTCTACCGAGCCCGCTGCTTTGTGATGAGAGTCGTTGACACAGAGAGAGCAGGACTTCCCTGCAGTACTGATAAATTGCAAAAATTGGTGTGTTAAATTTGACACCCCGATTTATCACAGGACTACACCAACATTTTTCACTTTTCAATTTGGTGTTACTTGGTGTTATTTCTAACACCATCCACTTATAGATAACACTTATAGGTGTGCAAAGTAACATCGCGGTGTTAAAGTAAACACACTATATGGTGTGGTCATCTGATAACACCAAAAAGTGTTGATTTTAACGCCACAGTTTTTGCAGTGTATGTTTGAGGTGGTCAAGCAAACTTCTATCGCCAAAATTCTATCGCCTAAAACAAAAGCGAGTGCTTTCAAAAAGGCCAAAAATCAATACGGCCGTTTCACAATAGTACGCCACCAAGACTTTGCAACGCGTTGGCTAATCACAATGCGTGAAATTTGTCGACCCAATGCGCGTTTGGAAAGGGTCGACAAATTTCGCGCGTTATGATAGGCCAACGCGTTGCAAACTCTTGTTGGCGCACTCTTGTGAATCGCCCATATTCTATATAGTATATTAGTATAATTACTAAACTTCCCCTCTAAAATACGTGTAAATTGTCCTCCACCATTTTGAAAGATTTGAAACTGATCTTTATCAAACTACGTTATTTTGCTTTTGCCTTCCATCTTTGTCTGTTTTTAAGTGCGAGCTGGTAAAATCCAACAGAAAAGCCTGAGGTTGTCACTAAAATCAGTGAGGTGAGCTGCCTCACTCGTGAATAGGCATGCAGGGGATACCCTGGCAAAGAGTACCATTCTGACTTTGTAAATCATAACGGCCCAGCAGTGGACCCAAACACTTCCAAGAATTGACATTGTATTAAGTGTTGATGCATTACATGGTTTCTGACTTACCTCGCGCAGATTGTTTGGCAACCCGTATATATACCTGTAGGGTCGGCCGTTGTATTTCTCATAGTTGATTCGCGGTAGCTCAATTCCTGTGAGACATGAACGCATGGTTAAAACGCATTTCCAAGTTGACAAGGAGGCGCACGATTACAATAACAATGCCCTCCATTTGTCGTAACATAAATTCCATTAAACTCTATTTAGCTTGACGTACGGCTTATTCTAAGACCCATTAGCTACGGAAAACTTTTTTGCTGAGGACTAGGTTGTCAGTGTACCAAAGTGGTTGCACGTATAAAAGCATAGTTTCAACACGGGCAGTATTGCCAAGCGATCCACGACGGTACGCAATCATAACAGAAACGCCTTATCACAGCGGACATAAAATTAGGCGCAGCTGTATGGGGCACCCTATATGACTTTATTAGTATAAAAAAACAAACGAAAATAATATATTTATGACGAAACTAATATTTACAGGACGAAAGTGAAATAAATCTAAGACGAAACATATATAAAGGACGAAAGAAAATAGGAAGAAACTAATACATAAAGCACGAAACCAATCTATGCATAGGACAAAAGTACATTTAAAGAACAAAGATTATTTATATAGGACGAAAATTGATAAATATACGACCAAATTCGTATATAAATGACGAAACTATGTACATATAAATATAGAACGAAAATAATAGGACAAAACTAATCATAGGCCTATATAGGACGCAACTAATAAATATAGGATGAAAGTAATAAATATAAAACGAAACTAAAAAATAAAACAAAACTATAAAAACTTACAGAGCGATACTAATAAATAGGACAGGGTGCCGCCCCAAGATGAAGTGCACGCCTATAAAGCCAATTGGCGAAAGAAAGACAGGTAGTGACAAGCGGGTCCTTACATTGCTACCAGTGTCAGGCATTACGCGAGTACCACTGGCATTACTAGCAGCAGGCCTGGGCCCATTGCTAGTGGGTATAACATTGCAACTAATTCACGGAAAGCAGGGTTTTGAAGGATGTTTTCAACCACATGAACTTCTCGTACTAGAACGTTTTCAATTTTCCAACGTTTGAGCCGTGGTTCAGGATCACAGTTCCACTCTTTTTGACAAATCTCTCTGACAAGTAAAGTGTGATATGACGTCCACCGTATCATCAAGAGTGGCATTGAAAGAGCTCCATAAGAGTTACGGGAAACAGTAATTTTTCCCGTAAAAGTTACAACAACCGTCAGAAAGTGATGGCATATCTCAAAAAGTGAAATTTAGCAAGGAAAATTCCGAAGCATTTACTTGGTTACATGTTTTTGTTTTTTTTTTAATAGACAAATCTCACAGGTTTGTATACAGGGGCATCGAGTGTTAATGTTGTCCGTGTAACTCTCCAAACCGGGTATGGCGCACAAGCGGCACGACGTCCGCGAACCGGTCGGTAGATGGCTTACATATTTTACGTTTTCATCTTGTATAAGATGTTACATTTTGCCCCATATCACAACCGGTCTGGCGTCGAAGTTGCGTCCTATTTATTAATTTTGCTCTAAACTTATTATTTTCGTTCTATATTTTTTAGTTTCGTTCTATATTTATTACTTTCATCCAATATCTATTAGTTTCGTTCTATATTTCTTAGTTTTGTCCTGTGTATATTATTTTCATCCTATATTCATTAGTTTCGTCATTTTATATGAATTTGTAGTATATTTATTAGTTTTCGTCCTATACAGACCATCTTTGTCCTTTAAACTACTTTTGTCCTGCATATAAATTAGTTTCGTGCTTTATGTATTAGTTTCGTCCTATATGCATTTCTTTCGTCTTTTGTATATTTGTTTCGTTTTAGATTGATATCACTTTCGTCCTATTAAATTAGTTTCGGCATATTTTTTTCGTTTGATTTTTTTTACTAATAAAGTTACGAGGGCGCTTCATAGAGCTAGCACGGCAAGGTTGGATAAGTTAATTAAACTTAATTAATACAGGCGTTTCACAGCAGTGCGACTCCGAGAGTTTGCAACGCACTGGCCAATCATAATGCGCGAAATCTGTCAACCCAATGCTCGTTGGAGAGGGTCGGCAGGTTTCGCGCATTGTGATTTGCCAACGCGTTGCAAACTCTTGGAGGCGTACTATTAAGATTCGCCCGGATTGGCCGACTGAATGTTTGCGTAGATGCTATATTAAGCCCGTGCAAACACGGACGCTGGCATGGCGGATGTCTCTCTGGTTTGTAAACGACTGCTTCCGTCTTGAAATCGCGTATGGAAACCAGGATTTAATTAACCATCGAAGTAAGCTTCGAGATGATCCTTAGTCACCAATTAATTGGCGTTTGATGTGAGCGGGGAACCGAAGGGTTGGGGCACTTGGAGTACACAAAGCAAAAATAATAATAATTAATGCGCCCTCCAAGTTGTACAAAGAGTGAAACTATGCGCTTTCCAATTTTGGAATTTTTACCAATTTTGGAATGAACGGAGCGAATCAGTCTCAGCCACTCCCATCGTAAAAATCATTACAAATCTACTGTGATGGAGGACAACTTCTCCTCTGATAGCCAGTGTATTCACGTTGTACCCTTTAATAATACGGCCGTTTACTGTAGTGGGCCTCCGAGAGTTTGCAACGCGTTGGCCAATCACAATACGCGAAATCTGTCGACCCAATGCACGTCTGGAAATGGTCGACAAATTTCGCGCGTTGTGATTGGCCAACGCGTTGCAAACTCTTGGAGGCGCTCCATTGTGAATCACCCATACTGTGGAAATACTGAATGTAGATTCTTTGTGGCAGTTGGTCCGAACTCTATAAGTTTACCTGCTGCTTCTGTCTTCAAAATATACTGTTCGTGTATTCCACTAGATTTATGTAATAATTTCTGAAAAGGACAACTCACTTTGATCTGAAAGATCCTCGTGTGTGCAGAAAACTTTGCCTGGACCAATCAGTTTAGCAGTGGCTCGGCTACCGGCAAGCGTAACAAGTTCTTCAGTATCCTTCTAGTTTAGGAAAAACACATCCAATATACATGTATAATATTGTGCTTGACCATACTTATGTAGAATATCGAGTTTGGTCTAGACCCACTGCTGAAGTTGGCAATATATTGCGTTTGCTTTCCTGCTAACGCCAGTAAAGCCACGTGAAACGAAACGTTTTGGAACCCCGGAAGGGGTTCAAACGGTGTTTTGCAAGAAACGATTTGCACTCAGGCGCAGTCTTTTTCGGAGATTATAATTTCCCACGTGATTCTTCATAACCCCACGAATCGAAATGGTATATCTCATTCCCTGAACTAAGCGAAACCTCAGTTGACTCACCTTCAGGTCCAAGGGCAGAACGAAGCGAACCGCCCGCAACTCTTCTTCGTTTGAGGCAACCATTTTTCGCGCTGCCTCCAGACCAGCGCTGTCCATTATGCTGGCATCAGCATGGCGGCACAGATCGACGACCATGTGTCCATCCTCCTCGTAGGCATTGATGAAATGTAAGCAGAAGAAGGAATCGGCGAGGTACTCGGTGGACACCACCTCGCCGGTGCGCAGATGCACGAGATAGAAACGGGACCTGAGTTGCAAAAACAAGTATCAGGTAACACAAACAGTCCTCTATCCAATGTTATGAACCTGCTTTGCAGAAAGGATTGTCAATAGCAATTTTTGGCTGAGTAAAACAGTTTGTAAACCAGTCAGAAGCAATTACGACTTGTATAATTTCATCCTGTGAAATGCAAGCTCATAACCTGGTGTTGCTGAAGATAAATTTTCTGTGTTATAGGGAATTCGTGTGTTTGAACCCAGCGACGTAAGACACTTTCCTTACGATATCCTGTCGACATCTTTTAACACGCCTGTCATGGAAACGGTGGCGCGAACAATGCAAATCAAAGAACTGTATACGTGTATCGTGTACATTTACTTCTTTTCTGCAGAATTCTACCCTGTGTTTTCGTCCATTAAATACCACAGGAATACTTCAAGACTTATAAAAAGAATTCATTTATGCATAAGCACGGGCGCAACCGTAAGTTGAAGTGGAATTGAAATTGAACGGAGTGCATATCTTATAATTTTTTTTTCATATCTGGCTTTGTCTTCGAAAGGCCTATCATTAATTGTAGGCCCCAGCTTCATATCTTCAGGCATCTGTTTTAGGAAAACTGACTTCAACATTCGTCGGTACCCTTTTTAAGACAACAAATATCAACCCTTGTAATTTGAGACCAAAACTTATAAGATTTTGGATTGGATGGAGCATTCTTGACGTCCAAATAAGTTATTCTGGAGCAACTGGAGAAACTAAGTATCGAACTAAGGGTCTGAACAAACTTAGGATCTGAAAAATATTTTTCCCTGGAAATCTGCATCGTACTTCTGCTCGGGATAAAAGCTCAGACAGGTACTCGGGGCAACCTCCCGCAATTTGGCGGTGAGAATCTTGAGGACGTTCACCACGAAGGGCTGTTCCAGGAAGATGATGTAGTTTTTGGTCATTCCAAAGCTGTGAAAGTAGCTGGGATACGGCGACGAAGAGGCTGGTATACGACAGATTACCCTCGATCCTTTCATTGGTTCCTCGTTGTCCCCTGCAAAAGGTGCGAAGAAAACGATCGTGTTATATGGACTTCCAGCCTGTGTTACCTTCATGTGAAAGAACCTTTACTCTCTGCAACGAAATGTCTTTGTTTTAGTCACGAACACCGATTTTTGTTTGATGACGTCACCGAATTTCGATGTGTGTCATCGGAAAATGTACTTGATTTTGTGTATGATGAGATCTCTGAAAAAACGCTTATTAAATGACAGGGTGAAATAAACAGGACACTGAACGTCTCAAAGCAAAGTTTCTCTTCTGTGACTTCCAGGATGATGCCTCATTATTATGGAAACTTACAAAATTTCATGAAGTACAGCAAACAAATCTCAAACGTGGCAAAGCTGTTTTTGTTGTACCACCAGAGGGCGTTCTTTTTCCTTTTACGACGTCAGCAATTAGTGCTCAGAATACAGTTCGTAATTTTCTGTAAATTTTGAGTGGTATAAAAATTGTCTGTTTTTCATTGCTCTTCCAGTTAGGGGCCTAGGCCTATGTTGCCCAAGATCATGGGCGGAGATCCCGGGGATGGAAGGGGGATATATCAGCCACTTGTGTGTGTGTGTGTGTGTGGGGGGGGTCATCCCCCACACGCCCTTTTCAAGTCACTGACGGCGTCACGATCTCACCTGGAATGGAGGCCATGCTGAGCTAAAGTTATGAAAAACTGACCAGTTTCCTCTTTATTTGACTTACTTCACAACTCATGAAATTTAACGAAATTGCCCGGACGTAACTTTCCAACTGCACTAATGCCAGTCCAAAGCTCGTTATTTGTCAACCAACTTTTTGCCTCTATTCATTCGAGCAAGCAAAGCAACTTTTAAACCCAATAATTAAATGTTGCCTGCAATGTCAAACCTGAGGATTGGACAGCAGAGGAGAAACACACCTTGTTTGGCCAGTGGCGTCTTGATTATACTGTATGTGACATTTCTCCCAAAGGTTGTTCCCATGTTGTACACGCAACCATCGTCACTGTAGTGTGGATGCGCAGAAGCCATGTTCACTGCTACGTGATCAGTGATCGTAACCTTCAGGAAGAAGATTTTCTTCATATCATTACAAAAACTCTGCAGGTATTAAATGTCCATCAGATTGACTTACAATCTCAAAGAGACGTCATCTTGAAAAAAGTGACCATCATCACGAGAATATCGCCCAAATGCACGTTTACCTTACTCGTCACTTTGAGAGTCCGAGGATCTACCTTGCACATCAAACTGCTTTCCGTTAAGGCGTAGAAATGGTCCTGTCCGAGATGCAGCCAGTTTACGCTACAGTTATCGGTGGCGTCGTGTAAGGGCTTCGTGAAATAGGAGAAGAGGTGTCTGAAGTAGCTCTTGCAGGGATCTCTGTAGACGGCCGTACCATAGCCAAGAACAACTATGGGCTTCTCAGCCATATAGCAGTTCGTATGCATCACTCTCTTGATACCTGTTGGGGGATCGGATTAATGGACCATAAAAATCATGATTAGGCTTAAATTCCATAATGATGTTACTCTTCTCTTTGGCTGTGGTGGGTGAACATTCTTCTTTTAACTGCGATGGGTGACCATTATCTAAATCCATACTTGATGCTAGTTCCAACAAGCTCATCGACTTCCATACTTGACTCTTTTTTGGTGTCAGAAGCCACCGGGACAGGCAAGTACTCGAAGTGAGAGGGTTGTTGCCTTGACAGGGATCACCTGTTCTGATGCGACACTTGTCTCTCCTCAGTGATGAAGAGCGAAGCCGTCAAACAAGCTACCGACCTCCTGCTCTCCGGCTTCCAAGAGCCCCGGCCAATTACGGATTAACGAACCCTTTAACAACTTTGGGATCTCGCCTCAAAAACAAAATCAAAGTCAACGACAAAGTTTGTATTGCCCACACGGCTGGACAACCAGCTAGCAAAGGAGTACTTTATTCGAGAAGTTGGAGATCCAAATCCGGTGAATTACAAAGTAACTTTTTTTTGCACGGGGACGTTTAGATTGGCTGCCATGTCTCTAGCTGATGATCGATCGTCCAAATCATAGCCATTCACTTCTTTATATCTCTCACTAGCCTATACAAACAGGCTGGTGTGCATATTGAAAATAAAACAAGTTCTTCATTAATCCTTGTAGATAAAGGAAACGCTGGAGATTGTAACTTTAAATGAAACTGCTTCTCATGAACACCCCCTTTTAATGAATGGAATAGGCTTACAGACCGTTGTGCGCACATCACGCGCAAACCCCTTCCGTCCACCCCCCCCGCATATATGTGTGTGGACGTGACATGACGTGTTCACCTCGATACAACTTTCTTGCCACGGACGTTTATATGACGTCCGTGTTTCTTGCTCAAATGACGTCACGTTCGGTTCTCAACAGAGCACCTAACGAAACAGTGTAACATGGTTACATTTTCAAGTACATTACTTGTTTGAACGCTGGGTAAGCCACATAAGAGGACAAATCGTTAAAAAAAAGCAAAACTGCATATTCCAGTCATGTCATGCTTGCTATGCAAAGATTTTATTTTGTGGTTTAATGATTTCGTAGCATTTTAATACCAAACTTCAGGAAATCGTACCGCCACCATTGCTTTTTTTGTGTAATAGTTGAGTGAAAGATGGAGTAACATGAAATGGAAAAAGAACAGGTTAATGACTTCATTGAAATGAAATTTTATATAATATTTGTGGTCTCATCTATTGAATGTTTATGGCAAGCTATAACAAATAAATTTCAACTCAAAATTGTTTTGGCACTACAAGGCGCTCTCTCATTTATGACGTCATTAAGTTACCGTTGTGTTTCATCCACAGTCTTGTAATTTGAAAAATGTACCCCGTTGTAGTAAACAGGCCTACGCGTCTTAGAGTTGTATTGATTGTCGCTTGTATTGTTCTTCTTATCTTATTATCCTGGAAGCGAAGGTCAAACGAATTTATGGTAACCCAGCAATATCAAATGTCACCTTAGGCTAAAAATGACCCAAGAAATGTAGCTATACAGTTCTTCTAAATGCTGGTTGTGTCCCATTCAACACGCTTTTTCTATTTTGGTGTGCTGTTTTAATGGCATTTTGGTGTCTATTGATTTTCATGTTTATTCTGACAAATTTGCATATTATAATCAAAAGTGTGATACCGTCGCAGGCAGTAACCCCAGTGTTACAGCTTTGCCTGCACTAAACTTTGCCTTAATTTTGCTGTGAGACGTACATGTTGAGAACAATTCATGAGCAGTGTCTTCCTGAAAGACAAAACAATGAACACGCCCTCATTTGTCATGAAAATCATAGAACATCTTACATGTGAAAAAGTGCCAAGGGTTGAAAATTCAGAGTTTTTCTTAATACAGTGAAAAGGAGTCGACGGCCAAACTGGTGATGGGCTGATTGTTTGTTTATTTACCCTGTGGTCTACAAACAGAATTGACATAAAAAAAAAATAATAAATATGCGCACCGACCTGGGACACTTAATATTATCAGAACATTAACACTGCAGATCATCAACATCAAGATAGTATGGAGAGCAATGTTTCCAACAGCTCTTCTGCAGACCTTTTTACCATAAACATGCTCATGCATGGTTGCAACATTTGATTCAACACTGCCATTCAAAGAAAAATACCGTGTTGGTGTAAAATTACAGTTGTTCAATCAAAATTCTAAGACATAAACATAATGTAACAGTTTCTCCTAAACTTGCCAACTTTCAAAGCCTGTTTCAAACTAATCTCACGTGCATGTTGAGCATAAAACCATCGAAAGAGATTTTCCCCAACGGACCTTAATCCAGCATTCCCAAAAAGGTTAAATGAGCTCATTGACAAACACTCCGTGAATCCCGAAAGGCAAGTCTTCCACCTCGGCACGGGCCAACTCTTGGAAAGTCCGAGCGTCAAGAACGAGAAGGAACGGGTTCTTGGTCGGTTCTGAGTCTAGCACCAAGGACAGCACCACGCCTGGTGAGAGAACGAGAGAAAGAAGAATAGAAATGGTGAACAACGTACGCAGAGCCCTCGGATGTTAAACCCGGTCGGTTTCTCTGAGTTTATATCAATCAAAAAAGAAAACCAAATAAAACAGTTTAAAGGATTACAGCTAAATACACATGATGGACAAAGACCAAGCAAAGAATCGTCCCTGCTCCTCCTAAGAAAAGTATAAAACATTACATTTAGTGTTCAGTTCCCGGTGGAGTGTTTCTTTTATTACACAACCGTCTAGGGATACACCATGTACTTTCCTTTGGAAAATGGTTCTTGAGACGAGACTAGTCTTCCGCCCCGTGGAAGCCTCCTTTGTTACATTGTCAGAATTTACTTCCCTTTGAAGAAATCCGCCAGAAGCCCGATTGTAGCCTTTATTCAAGTCGGATTTCCTCAGCGTGTTGTGTAAATACAAATTTTTCCCCCGGTATATGACTAATGCAGCATCCTCAGACATTTCACTTGGTCCTTTGCTTCCATGAGATTATTCAATTTCCATGATCAAAATCAAAAACAACAGAACGAATATAAGCAAAATAGATAATATACACAGCACTTTCAACATAACAGACGAAAACAAGAAGCGAAGCATCCTTAAGATCGAAGAGGAGTATGTCGAGTTTGTGTGGGGCACTCTCCAGAATGCAGTGATTTGTAAATGTGTAAAGAGTGTAAAGCGCACAGATCTCCTCTTTGCACAAATTCCGAAAACAGTAATGTAAACGGATGTAAAGTGCGCATGTACTGGTTCGCCCATTTATTGAACGTACCGTCATCCTCCTCCACTCCGTCGGGGTTGGGAACGAACACCGCCTCCGATGGGTAGTGGCTCCCGGACAGTGAACCCCACGTCAAGTGGGTTCTTGTCTTCGTGTCAAGTTTTACGATCTGAAAAGTACAATGAAATCGTGGTATTTCTTCTTTTAACCGCTTGTGCCACAACGTGAACCAAGGTAGATAGAAGGACTTGCAACGGTGGCCACACCCCCAAAAAAGCACATTCGGGGGGAGGGGGGGTAATGAGAGGCCAATATTTGTTTGTCCATTTCATTGTTATTCCTTGAAATAGTTTAAGTTTATCTCACCCCTCAGAAAGGCCATTCAAGGTTACATAAAAACATTTCCTAATTTTTATTTTCCAACAAACAACTTTGCCCCCTCCCTAGCTTGTGTGACTCGAGTCACTGACTCAGCTCGTGTCCGACTCGAGTCACAATTTTGTGAACTCGACTTGAGTCCCAACTGGTAAATGAATCAAATCGACTCAAGCCACTGCGAGCAAAATGACTCGACTTGACTCAGTCCCTCATCAGAAAACCCGACTCGAGTGAAAGTTAAGACTTCGAGTCTCGAGTCTCAATAATAAAAGCAAATTTCTTTGCCAAAATAAAATGTTTGCAATAACTTACAATGCTGGTTAATAACATTCATGCTTTGTGTAATTATCATCAAGAGAATAGATTTGATGCGACTACAATAGAAACCCAGAAGTAAATTTAAAGGGCCATTGCAAAAAATGAATACTGAGCTTTTCTTTTTTCCTATTGTGTTCAAATGAAAAAAAAACATTTAGTGTGGCATATTTGAACGGCGAGCGCAAAGTAACAGCCAGCCTTCCTGCATGCCAACAATGGTCAACATCCAAGCATACAATGTACACGTACTATTTCTGCCTTTGCAGTAATCACGACACTAGCTGATTCTCCCTTCCCATACTTGACTACTTTTGGAGAGTTGTGTATGCACTATTAGACGTGAACACCTGAAACGTAACGTGTTTACGCTGTCTTTGCACTCACAAAGTTAAGACGGACTCACAAAAGAGACTATTACGGCGCACGGCCAACTTAATAGGGTAATGATATAGGATGACTTCAGCCCCTGGGTTACTGTGACAACTTGGACCGAAACATTTCGAAGTCTCTTCACTTCTTGTACACTTTTTCCGACATACCTCTTGAAGATTGTTTGGCATCCCGTAGATATACCGGTAGGGTCGGCCGTTGTATTTCTCATAGTTGATTCGCGGCAGCTCAATTCCTGTGAAAAAAAAAAGAACTCATGGTAAATCTATTCTTCCGAAGTTGCCAAGACAGTTACAGATTAATGTGTGAAAGTCCTTAAACGTACCGTATTTCGCTTTACGTGGCGTCCAAACGGAGACGCATAACAACTCCAGGGTGCTGCTGACAAAAATCGTATTGCAGTGAGAAAGCAGCCAAAATGTACCGAAGTTAATCACATTGCAACGTTCAATTCCGGAGTTACCTATACGCGTTTTTAGTGATTGAAGGACTACAGGACAAGTCACGTGGTCCACACAAAGGAAACAAGAGATTTAACGGTAATAATCACTATTTTAATGTACAAAATCTGATTAGTTCTCTGGCCATTCCGAGATTTATCAATAAGTGAAGCTATGTGCGCACTATCCGATAACTCTGAATAAATCTGAATGAGCAGAGAAGGCCGGTCTACACTGCGAGTTGTAATGGATGACAATTACTTCTAACAGTGGTTTTGTTTACGTTTTTAAAACTCGAGATTAGTGGTAACCGTTTGAGCAAATCCATTGCTCAGATAACTGTTGTTGAATTTCGATTACTCACTTTGATCTGAAAGATCCTCGTGCGTGCACACAACTTTGCCTGGTTCAATTAGCTTAGCAGTGGCTCGGCTACCAACAAGTGTAACAAGATCTTCGGTATCTTTCTGGTTAAGGAGAAGACATCCAACACACACTATTTAGCTTCACTGTTGTTTTCACATTTTACACCATTGTTTAGACACGTATGTTCACCCCTTCCACTCAGTTTGTGCACATGCGCTAAAATTCGGCAAAGTCGAGGTTACTTTCTGTTGCTTGTTAAAATGGCGACGCCACGCACCAGCCAGCAACCGACTATACCAAAATCCAGCTGCAGAGATCTTGCGCATTGTGTAAAAGTCTGCTGAATTTATACCAGAGAAATATAATCAGGATTCAGATTTCATTCTGTGATGAGTTTCTTGTTTGGGAGAAAATGGGGTGAAAAATGTTTGTGTACGTTGCATTTCCGAACATAAAAGGGCATTTTAAACTCAAAAAGTTGAATTGTTCTCCAGTTTTTCCACACATGCAGCATATCTTGAGAATTGAAAAGGTGTTTGGAAAAGGTTATCATGGTATGTTTAAGCTACTGCGAATTGCCCATTGTTAGTTTGATCAATTTCAATTTTGGCTCTCTGTCGATCGGTCGGCCATGATTTATGTGTACACATGTGCACGTTCATGTACATGTACTGAACTTGTACTCCATTAACGCACGTATGCGTATACATGTACATGCACTATTACGGACAGATGATCCTCGTTCAAGATATTCAATACGCAATAACTTGAAAATACTACCGATGCTTTTATCGGGTCTTAATACACACGGCACGTTATTTCGTTTGTTTGGATAAACTGGAGAAGTTGTTTTAAAACAAGTGTTAACAGTGTCCCGGTGCAGTTTTGCATTAACTGGTCGCACCAGTCACAAATTATTATTAAGCAGCTGCTTAGGAACAAAATGGCCCTGTTCATAGAAAAAAAAAGTCTATTTACGACACTTAATATATCTACTCTGATTGATTCGTCATTTTTTTTTGGGGGGGGGGGGACATGGCCCCCGTTGGTCCCGGCCAGATCCGCCCTGGAACTAGAAAATAATTAACTATATTTGTTCTCAAACCTGGAGTTACTTGGAGCATTAGAGTACAAAGACGAGCCGCTTGGTCGTAGCTTTCAAATACCAGACTAATCCTTTCCTTTGAGTTAAAAACAATACTCCAAAGATGTGTTCTCTCTTCTGAGTTGTTTCCAATATTCTCAGTTTCACTGTAAATTTTTAAGACTGTTCTGATCTTTCAAAGCTAATCCTTTGAGGTGAACGAAAACTCAATTTTCTTACTTTCAGGTCTAGGGGCAGAACGAAGCGAACCGCCCGCAAGTCTTCTTCGTGTGAGGCCGCCATTCTTCGCGCTGCCTCCAGACCAGCGCTGTCCATTATGCTGGCATCAGCATGGCGGCACAGATCGACGACCACGTGTCCATCCTCCTCGTAGGCGTTGATGAAGTGGAAGCAGAAGAAGGAATCGGCGAGGTACTCGGTGGACACCACCTCGCCGGTGCGCAGATGCACGAGATAGAAACGGGACCTGAGTTGCAAAAGCAAGAACCAGGTAACACCGACAGGCCTTTGCCCAATGTTATGAAACTGTGTTGCGGTACACAGGGCCTGGATTTCATGCAAAATCAAGTCACAGTTAACACCTACAAATCCTTAGCCCAAGCAGTTGGCAAGAGATGATTGCTTTCCAGCAGATACGTGTATACTGTACACTTCCTCGAGGATCAAAGTAAGCTTGTAATTAGTGATGTAGGCCTACATCAAGTGGAAATCTAGCAACATGCTGGGCTATGTCACACCCCCCATTGTTCCTTTCTGTGTGAAGCATATGATTCATAATGCTTTGCCAACACCATCAAATTGGACAGGGAAAGAGATATTTGATTATATATTTTGACATCAAGTTCCTGGGTCTTCTCACCCAAATAAAGCTGAACTCTTCTGAAAGGATTTTGTGTGACATTCTGGTACAGCCAGATGCTGACAGAATTGCCTAAAAGAGCTTGTGTCACCACCACTTGGGCAAAGGCGTACGGCAAGGCGTTAGGGGTGCGTGAGGCTTTGGTTTTTCTGAATGAAACCCTTTTTCAAACTATGTCGTACTTCTGCTTTCGATTGAACTCCAGGCTGGTGCTCGGGGCCACCTCGCGCAATTTGGCGGTGACAAACTTGAGGACGTTCAGCACTAAGGGTTGCTCCAGGAAGACAATGTAGTTTTGGGTCATTCCGAAGCTGTGAAAATAGCTGGGATACAGCGACGACGAGGCTGGGATGCCGCAGACTACAGTCGACCCTTTCATGGGTTCCTCGGTGTCTCCTAAAGACATTCGTAGGAAAATGTTACACACGCTTCTCAGCGCTTATTATGCGAAACAAACATTTTGACCATTGAATTCAAATAACGAGAGCAAAAAGCAAAGGCAATGGTATGATGGCTCGAAGGGGACATAACTGGTCGTGAATATATTTTTCGACGTCGCGAATTTATTCACGACCAGCCGTGAATATTTTCGCGACGTCGTGAATCTTCCTTTTTGACGACGTCCTCAATACATTTGTGACGTCATGAATATTTTTAACGACTGTTCATCAAACAAATTAACAGCGTTTCCAAAAATAGTGACAACTTCGCAAATGAATCTGTGACAAGTTGCGAATATATACACACTACACTTTGTCTGGAATAAACCAAGGATTTTCATGGCAACTGTTTTCCCAGTAGCAAGAATGGTTCAACAGCGTACACGATGGGGTGCAGATACATGTTCACGTACACAGCAGAGTGTGCATGTTGTGTAATGTAATAACGCCCTCAATCGGCCGTTGGGTTAAATACCCTCCAAGCCACCCTCGAGTACCGGTTCCTACGAATTTCACCGCTAGTGCCGAACTTGAAAAACACACCTTGTTTGGCCAGTGGCGTCTTGATTATACTGTATGTGACATGTCTTCCAAAGGTTGTTCCCATGTTGTACACGCAACCATCATCTCCATAGTGTGGATGCGCTGTGGCCGAGTTCACGGCGACGTGATCCGTGATCTTAATCTTTAGGAAGAGAAAATTGTCTTAAATAGAAATATTACAATCCTGAATTCATAAACAGATTAGACACGTTACCCAGGTTATACTGGTCATTTTACAGGCCACACACAGAGGACATGAACAAACACCCATGGAAAGAGAGTGACATAGAAACACCATAAAGTAAGATTATACAAAAAGTGCGAAAGTAGTGACAGAGGGCCTAATCCCCTTGCCCCACAAGACACTTCATATAAAAAGGACCAAATTAAAACTGCATGATGTAGATCATAAGAAAAAACTACAAAACCTAAGTTGATGTCTGATTAAAGAGGCGATCAAAAGAGATTAGGAAGTTAAAATCAGTTCGAGGGCCTTCTTTAGGTGACATGAACCCACTGTGGCCCAGATTTAGCACTGTGACTCTGCCAATGTCAATTTTCTGAACATGCAAATTTGCTGAATCAAATGCTGAACATGAATGGTAAGATGATTGGATGGTTCCGAGGGTGAGACGATCGGAATATGGTAATCAGAGTTCAAAGAATTTCTTCAGAAGTGAGCATAACCACACAGACATGACACGTTCGTGTACGTTTACCTTATTCGTCGTTTTAAGGGTCCGGGGGTCCACCTTGCATATCAGATTAGATTCCGTTAACGCGTAAAAATTGTCTTGTCCAAGATGCAACCAGTTCACGTTGCAGTTATCAGTAGAATCATTCAGGGGCGCCTTAAAATAGGAGAAGAGGTGCCTGAAGTAACTTTTGCAGGGATCTCTGTGGACGGCCGTACCGAAGGCAGCCACGGCTATGCGCTTCTCGGCCATGGACAGTTGGTAAGCGTCACTCTCCAGATACCTTTAAGGGATCGATTAAAATGTAAGGACGATTTACATCTGACAGTTACACTAAAAGCAGCTATGTTTTTTTTTCTTGCGGGGTATGCGGGAGTTGCAGGGTACTGTCAAAAGCTAATGAGCAAATTTGGCGAGCTCCTTGTCATTAAACTTTGGCTTTTCCTTCACTGTACGATGCCGCCGTGTTATTCGAGTATCAGTTCTTAAATCGACGGTATTATTGTCTTGACTGAATCTCACCTGCTCTGATACGACACTTGTCCATCCTTAATGATGAATCGATGAAGAAGAGCGAAGCCGTCAAACAAGCTACCGACCTCCTGCTCCCCGGCCTCGAAGAGCCCCGGCCCATTACGGAGAAACGAGCCCTTCAGCCACTTTGGAATCTCGCCTGGAAAAACCAAAATGGAGTTTGATGGGGGAGTTCATAAACGCGTACTAAGTGCACGAGGGAGTAACATGGACGAACGGTATTCCATATGTTACAGCCTTGCATCCAGCATAACTCATTCAGTCGTAAACTATGTGAAGACATGTAAAGAAGCCTAAAACTGCCTTGCTGTCAATTTACTACCTAACTATGAAGCACAGAGATTTTGTCAGCGACGTACTATAACCTCCTATGCGTGTGCGTGAGGATGTTGATAATTTACCATGCAATAGAGTCACTTAAAACATAAAGTGGCGCATTGCCCGTTCGCTTGAAACAGAACTTTTATATTACAATGCTCTTTACACTGTGAAGGCGTATGTGTGTGCAGGGAACTCGGAAACTAAGATTAAGTTCTTTGAGTAACCTTTATAATCGTTGAGTGACAATCAACTAATAAAAAATAAGAAATTAAGACAAACGAATAACCAGAGCAGTTGTCAAGAAAACGGAATAGCCCGTTGTAAGTCCTGGTTGTAAACCTATAAAAAATCACACAGAACCTATGGCCTCATTAGGAGGATGTTGTAGCACAAGTTATTGGAAGACGTTGTGTATGACAGATAGTGGCCTGGTAAAACCATGGCGGTAAGCCAAATCTTACAGCTTTTAACTTACCAGTGACAGTGGCAGGCCTAGGGTCATGACTCTCTTGATGAATAGAAGCCAGGATCTGGCGAAATGGTGATTCTGCTTCCTCTCCAACATCAGAACGGGTAGATTCCCCAGCCTGCATATCTCCAATCCAAAATGAAGAATTACTTGACTGTATGGTGTTGATTTGTCGTCTGCAAGCACGGGCAAGCCTGTTCAAGAAGCACGAATGCTGCGGGCTTGTGTTCCACTTTTTGAGTTTCTCGATCTATGAATGGTTTCTCAAGGGATTCCTGAGAACATGAAGTAGATTAGGATTAAAAAAAAATAGTTTTCGAAAAATTATCAGGCAACAGTAAATAATCCGAAGGTGTGTTGGGATACCACTGGCCTGGACTTGTCCAGAGCCCCAGATTTTTGTGACTCAAGGCCATCCCGGGTTGCCTTGCCACCGAGCAGATAAGGAATCGAGCGATTACGCGACGAACAATGACCAAGGTCGCGCAATTCAGTATGGGTATGAGGGCGAAGCTGTTATGTTATTGTTGACAAGAATCTTTGCGGGGTCATCAGCTGATTCCAGCGTGTTTCCTGACAGAGCAGACCATGGTGGGCATTCACTCGTCTGGATGCTCGATCGTCAGGCGCGCAAAGGTCGAGTAGGACGGTATTTCTGTGCTTTATCAGCAAATATGGAAAATTGGTAACAAAAGAGAAGAACTATATCATGTACGTATCTGATACAATGGAGGTATACTCTCACCAATGCTGAAAAGTCTTCCCGCGTTTACATAATGTGTTCACCGAGATGCAAGATCGATCGAGAAGAATCATGAAATAATTGAAATCCATTGAAAAATCTACTTTTGACATTGTTGACGTCACTTCTGAGTTGACGTCTAAATCGGCGACAAGGCGGAGTGCATTAGACGATACCTAATATTTTCATGACGCCATCATGACATCATACTACCAAAATATTATTGGGTCGTGGCCCACCATTCTACAATGAAAAGATGCACACAGACAAACTGACAGGCAGATAGATATCCCTGAAAAAACGCTGGGCAAGTTTATGCCCAACGATAGGTACCAGTCGTCTGAGTGTCACCCGTTCTGCTCTGTTCAAGCTCCGCTAGCCTCATAGTGAACGCGCGTCTATCACATATAGACTAACAGCGCGTTCCCACTTGAATTGGGAAAAGGTGGATCTTAGTCCGACATTTTGGTGTGATTGTTATCTTACCACAACAAAACCGTAAGTCGTGTCCCCACTAGCGCTTGATCCACCTTTTCAGACGGAAATGTCGAGCCCGAAAGGTCACTGAGTTCGATATTGCGCATGTGCTAGCTTGCTGAGCGCGCGCTCTGTGGCAGTGTGGCGTACTGGGGCGGCATGCCTGTGACCCTGCGGTGTTTTGGGTGCGGAGTTCTGCTTACGTGACGACCTTGAATCGGACCGAATGTTCAGCCTAGTACGTTATCTTCAAACTTTGCTTCCGTTTTCAATACTCTGTCACACGCTGCGGGCTATACGCTAACATGGAATTAGTTTTTGATGGAAAGCAAGTGAAATTACACAAATGAAAAGGGTTAAGAAACAGACGAATGCGCAACGAAAATTGTGAAAGGGCAAGGCACACATCGCGGCATGCATGCATTGCGCTACGTGGTGACACATTTTGCTAGCCCGTAGTTCAGCAGTTGTTTATTGTGAATGCTGTGCACGTTAAAAAATTCACATGAGCTACACTCCAAACAACGTATTTCGTTGTTCATCAGACCGCAAAAGTTTCGCATCACTCGTGCTTAGATTGTCGGATCAGATGGGCCACCTTTTGCGTTCCCATCTGATCGTGATACGCCAATTGCCGGATCTGATCCCCCAATTGGTGGATCACGGAGGAAGGAACACAAAGTGAGAGCGGGCTGTGAGGTTAAGGTTAATCTCCCAACTGTTAGGCAAACAGATTACCCAACTGTGTTGATTCTCTACTGAGATTATGTACGGTGTAAAGGGGGGGGAGCTTATATGGCCTCTTTGACCGAGATAAAGTTGAGATAATCACTGATACTGTTTGCATCCATGTGGACGGTTCGTATCACATTTGATTCAAGAACCACATTTTCGTTGTTCGGGCTTCCTAATTAATCTTGCTGTTATGCTAATCATCAGTTCATGCAGTCCTTCAAAAGATGGTTTTCCCAAAGCATTCCATTAAAAAAAACACCCCCCCCCCAAAAAAAAATAAGAGGACGGAAATTTAGGCAAAATTCAAACGACGATACGAGTGATTCACAATAGTGCGCCTCCAAGAGTTTGCAAGGCGCTGGCCAATCTCAATGCGCTAAATCTGTCGACCCTCTCCAAACGCACATTGAGTCACTCAAACCCCGGCAGAACATAAAAGTTGTTAATAGAAGTAATTTTTCTTGAAATTCACTAATACAAAATGTAACAGTGACTGCAGTAAAAAAAAAATAGATTTAACACCACAATTGAAAACAAGGCAAGGCCAGGCTGCCAATAAACGTGTTTAGCGCATGGGCGTAAATCCTGAGGGCAAGGGGGCTATCATATACACCCCCCCCCTTTGTAAAATGGGGAATGGGCTATTGAATCATCCCCCACAAACTTTTTTGTGGAGTGAACAAAATATGGAAGCGGATTGTGAAGACTTTTTCAGACTTCCAACGACTAAAATGCATTCAATTCACTCAAAAAAAAGGGGGGGGGGATAAAGCCAAATGCCATTCTGAATACACATTACAGATGTGCATCAATATCATGTACATCGACCCCTACATAGAAGAGTCATGTGGTGTCCCCCCCCCCCTGCTTTTCAAATTTTTATGACCGGGCAAGTCAAGTCACCCCCCACACACACACCTTTCCCTATCCCTCATTCCCCCAATTCCCGGCAGATATTTACACCACTGAATTAGCGGAACAGTAACGACAGCACTCTATGCCGATGCTCCCCTGCACTGCAAACTGTACCAGTTCATCCACCATACCAACTTGAAGGCATCATGCCAACAACAAATGCACACATGCTGTACAAAACAGCCAAAGTTCCATAGCTCAAGGATTAAATGGGGCCAAGCCTTTCATAAGAAATACTTCTAAAAACACTTTCCTTACCTAAAACCTACCTGAAATGTTCTCAGTGGAAAATCGAACACAATGGAAAGCTATTGCCCAGCAATGTCCAAGCAGTGTGTATGCGAATAACCGTGACCTCATCGATATGATAATTCGATTGGAATGCATACGTACAAAACGTACGAGTACAAAGGCCTTGTCCGATTATCAACGGCGGCCATCGGACGGGGTGAGGTGAAGGCAGCAGTATATCACCGTGGCGCATCTGTATTATACATGCACCCGAGCGGCGAGATACATTTTGCGGACCAGGTGGGGTGGGGTCACGCACTGAAAGCGTGGTGGAGGGGTGC